AGGTGGAGAGACAACATAGTCAGGTGATCGACATATCCTATAGGCAGAGTTCAATCCCAAGATCAGGCATCAAGAGTACTCAACAAAATATCCAAGCTGACCCCACCTGAGATGACACTACTTCAGGGTGGATATAAGGTGGAGCCATGCATTATTTTTAAATCCATCTCAGAGAAAAAGTGTTTCAAGTGCCACAGATTTGGGCATATTGAATTAGGTTGACTAAATAGGAGAATGATTGCTTTCATTTAGTAGGGAAAAATTGGAGAAATGGATAAGGATATATGAGAGGATGAAGATGTCGGTGAGGAGTCTCAATTGCCTGCTAATGAGAAAGAGATACTAGCGACTCAAGTTGAGCCCATGAGCGAGACTCCCGATAGATTAATATTGGTTGTTCTATAAGATAATGAGTCAATATTTGAAAAGGGCAAGCCCCTTTAAAAGGAATTGTCAAACATAATAAGACATATTATATTATTTGGTGGTTATCACTGAAAGTGATCTAGTATGCTATAAGTTTCATTCTAGAGTTAATTCTTTTAGACAAATTTGTTTATCAAATGTACCTAGCTGAGTACAAGGAGTAGAAGAGGTCAATTACAGATTTAATAGCTCGAGAGTTACTTTATAAAAATTTATATTGATATACAGCTTCAGTGCAAATTATGTCAAATCTTGATTTTATTGTAATAACTAGGTAAAATCTTGACTTCGAAGCAAATAAAAATATTATTATAATATTTAAATATTGGATACTATGCAAGCATACGTATCGTTATCAAGTATTATAGGACTTTTTTATTAAGCCCCGAAAATTGAACCCACAGAGACAACAACAATATGCAACTACAAATCACAAGAAATTAGATAACAAATTTCACTTAAAAAAATACTTTTACTCAAACTCAAGATGCTATAATATGAATGAAAGTTCGATTCTTTTTATAATTTTTTATATCTGAAAATAAAGTAAGCAACTAACTAAACTAGATATTTGCAAGATGAAGACAATATAAATAAAATATTATTTTTCTTATCATGAATCAGTAACAAGTATAATAATTCTATTGTAGAAGTATTCTAATTGTGTTGTGAAAAAAAAGAGCAATAATATTCTTTAACCATACTAGAGACGCTATAAAGAAAATTGGCTAATCTATAATTTGAATTGTCTTGAAGAAGGGTTACGTAAGAAAGATATTAGCTCTCACTCTAGAGTTCCCTCTTCTCCCTTCACTTGGGGGCTAACTTCTCGCATCAAAACCTAAAACTATAAATCAAATTGAGGGTTTTAGTCTGTCACTCTAAAGTCCTTTAATTCTACATCATTCAAAGTTTATTTCCCTATTTATTTGCACTCAAGTCCATAAACTACATTCTCATCCATGAAATCAAATGTGATTATTACAATTTATTGATTGAGACAATAGCACTCGAATCTTACATGTTCTCACAACATGTATTAACATCTTAATTGACCAAATCAAGAAGTAAATGAAGTACAAGGTTTAAAATCATTAACATTAAAGACTAATACTTCACACATTTTTCATACAATACTTAATCACTTATCATTTTAAGAAAAAAAATAAAAAAAACTACTCATAATTCATGGAGAAAACATAACCACACTTGAGTTTGAAAGTAGAAATCATGCACACAAACAAGAAGTCTAAATTAAAACCACATGTACTCACAAAGATAAAAACATATCTCAAAATCCTCTCCACCAAATTCTTGAAGTTCCTTTGAATCTTTTCCTTCACTTACCTAAAACTTAAAATAAAAAGAAAAGTAGGCAATGGTGGCGGCGATAGGCAGCGGAGGCTACGTGTGGTGGTTAGCGCTGAATCGGTCGATGGATGATAGCTCTTTCCTCTTTAATCCAAATCTTCTTTTATAATTTTCCAAAAGGTGTCTTGGTGTCTCTTCAAAATGTGTCCCCATTCAATGAATCTTCTAGAAGTTCTCTTCTTTTAAAAGTCAATTAAATGAATTTGCGTGTCCATTAACTATTTCTGACGTTTTCACCAAGGGTTGCTTTAAACACCTCTTCAATATTCATTCAAATTCAATAATACATCAAATAACTACTTCTGGCGCTTAAGCAACGGGTACCTGGCGCTTAAGTGCGGCTCTCTCTGTTTAACTGGCGTGTAAACGCTAGTCTAAGCGCCTCAATTTATTTTCACACCTTCTATATTTTTGCTCCAAATTTGATCTTTTTTCACTTCTTTCACCATGTTTTATCCATTTAATTATACCTAAAATAAAAATACACAAATATATTTCATTAAAGCGTAATATCTCAAAAATAGATATAAAAATTTGTACATAAAGACTATATATTTTTGGTGTATCAAACACTTGCTTGTTTAGACTAACTCGGTCTAAGCTTTTCCTTGTTGTGGAGTGTTGGTTGGTCCCTTGGACCTACTCCTAGTTTTCTTATTATTATAAATTTTCTTTTGTGATATATTATGGTTAGTTTTTGTCGTTTGTTTGTTTGAGATTGTCTTCAACATCTGTGTTTCCCTTCTAAGATTGTATCCAAGGTTTAAGTGGTGTTATGACTGTAACTCGCTTATGATGTGGGGATTATTCTTCACCAACCCTTTTTCATTCCTTATACATTGCTGCCTGTCACCTGCCCTTGATGCAGTCACTCTAAATAGCAACCCTTAGCTATTTCTCTACATTTTCTCACCTTCCAGCCACCTGTCCTCATTATTGTTGCCCCAGACATCCATCCTTTTGCTATCCTATAGTCCACCGCATCACCCGTCGATATGATCGTCATTTTCCCTTTTTGTCTCTATCTAGAACAGTCGTTATCTATGTTGACTTCTTTGTCTAACCATTTTTCTTGTTGTCATCGTTCATAACAGCACCCAAACTTATTGTTCATGCGGCTTTGCACTTCCCCCTCGCTGCTATCGACACCCCTTTGCTATAGCCACACCTTTCAGCTAATTAAATGCTTTTTGTAACATCTTAGCAGTCCAAACCCGCACCAATCATAACCACAGACCCACGATCTACCCTCGTTCGAGTTTGTGTTGTCAACTGTTACATTTTCATATTTTTGTTTTGTTGGGTTGTAATTTCTTAAATGATTTCAATAACATTATTTATTTTTCCCACTGTTGTTGGTTAGCTCGAATAGCATAAAGAGTTTTTGATAACTTAGAAATTGAGTCCTCTAATTTTTGAAGTGTCTTATTAAGACATCTATAGCTTGAAGAATTCCTTTATCTCTTTTTTTGAGCTTTGTGAAGGTTACATCTTAGCCTATTGTAATAACATTTCAAACGAGACCAAACATGTAAAGATGATAACACATGAAAATAAATATGATACTATGTTTATTACTTGCAATAAATATTGGGGGGAGAAAATGATAAATTTATTACCAGTAACTATAGACATGCAATTTGTGATGAATTTTACTTCATAGGGAAGCTTTTAAAGCATAATTAAGCATTGCATGCAAATAACTTGTCAGAGTTAAGAAGAGGAAATTATGATACAAGATTGATAGGTTTATTATTGATTGATAAGGTACTACAAAATTGTAATGAAGCCTTTTGAATGATTGAGAAGGGATTCCATATAGAGATTACCCTTTGCAAGATATTATATCAAAACCTTTAGTTTCTAGGTGAAAATTATTGGCGATGGAGTCTAGTTTTGTTATGAACTTTCATGTCAAATTAAGACGCATTACATGCATTTTAATTTGTTTTTAACTCTACTTAACCTATATAAACATGTTGTCTCTCTTATTGCCATCTAATTATTCCTTTATAATTTCATTAGAACACATATAAAGTATTATATAAAGAGGTGAATTGCATGATTTTAAAATGCACTTTACTCTATTCATTGCTACCAATGTACAGATAAAGGTCAACGAGTTGGTCAATGGAGTGATTAGAGAGTGATAGTCATATAGGTTGATTAGTAAGAGAGATTTATCTATTAAATAATTGTTAATGATTACTCGAGAAAAAGAATTGAAATCCCGTCGCCCGCTTAGGAAATGCGTTTTAATTTACATATAAATATATAAATTTAGAAAATATGAAATCAAACTGATATCATATCTTTCACAGTTTAAATGAAAGAACAATATATCTCAAACCCTGTAACAAGTGGGAGACACTGACTGGTGGTCATAAGGCAAAAATAGCTAGATCAACTAGGTCTACTTTCATCTCTTTGTACACAGAGATGTAAGATCTCACAAAATTACATAAACTCTCTTACTCTTCTATTATTGTTTCTTATAGTTTTATTAATATTATTTTCCCATCTTTATTTTATTTCATTGTTTTCCCCAATTCCTTTCAAACAACACAAGGTCCATTTTACATTTACCTATACTTCCATCCATACATTAATATAATAGTTCTAAATTAAAAAACAATGGGAATCTTCTAGTGATTACATCCTTACTACAGTCCAGCACTCCATATTGTAAAACAAAAAGATCCAAAATGATTAGGATGCCAATAATCATTCTAATTATCAAAGAGCAGACATCCTCTAAGAACTATTCCCTGATAATACCGCAAGTTTATTTAGGAAATAAAATTATACTTAATCATAGTCTCAACTAACTTGAAATTGACTTAAAAAATGATTAAAGACAAGTAATTATAATCAAAACAACAGAGATATTATAATAAGAATATGCATGGTTGTTAATCAGTACTATTTTACTGAACTTATGTTAATTAACATTAGCCTTCATCCCAGAAAAAAAATAAAAAAAATAAAAAACAGGTTCCTGAAGTCACAAATGGAAGACAACAGAAGTAGAAACAGCATGGTTGTTAATCAGTACTATTTTACTGAACTTATCTTAATTAACATTAACCTTCATCCCAGAAAAAAACTAAAAAACAGGTTCCTGAAGGCACAAATGGAAGACAACAGAAGTAGAAACAGTCTGCTTTTCTTAAGTTCAATACTAGCACAGTTTTGAATGCGCCAATCCAACTTATATAAAAGCCAGCCATAAAAGCTGCAGAAAATGAAAATATTACAAAATTTAGTTGCAATTTATTTTAAACCGTGGCATCCCTCACAGAACAGGACAAAGAAGAAGAAAAAAAGGACCCATTGAAGCTTAAAATCTAATAGACTTACACCTTGGAGGCAAATTTGCTCCCAAACAAAATTGTTGAGGTAACAAACTCATAACTAATCACCAATCAATACATTGTAGTTTACTTCCTATGCTTTTTTTTTACCTCGGGATCATCAACTCATCGCAGTCCTCCACGACAACCTGCACAATTGTGCGGCACAACCAAACCAATAAGTTTGATCAAGTTGAGATGCTATATAATGTGCAAAAATGCAGAAAGATGAATACAAACCTGACGATTTTCGCCTTGAAATGTATATTCTACCAGTAGCTGCTTTGGGAATTCAGGGCAGGGATCATAGAAGCCCATTATTCCAGATTTTCTAATGCCCCCATGAAGCTGCACAAGAATTAAAGAGAATAGTGCTCATTTAAATTTAATTTCCTGTTTCCACAAAGGATATAACATATGAATCATTCTTTTTTCCATTGAGAACAAAAGCAGATGAAGCCATGTTCCTCTGGTTCATTTGATAAAACCATATAAGTATCAATAAACCATTTACAACTATTTGGAGTCCCTAAATAAATCCTTTTATCTATATTATTTTGTTAATTTTGTTGCATGTGCTGTTTTAGTTTCCTTTTTTCCTCTTCTTTTTCTGGGGCATGGTAAGTGCTCGAACATGGCCCTTTGGAATTCTTCATTTTATTTTAAATATATTGTGCATTAAAGCACAATAAGTTTTTTTTTTTTTTTCGTTTGGGGCAACGGTGCGGTTGCGATGCAGCACCGCACCGCAGTTTTGTCAATTTGGGTAAATTGTGTTTTGGTAGTTTTTTCAAAAAGTTGCCGCTGAAATCTGTGTTTTCTCACCACCCCTGACTAAGTGCGGTGGCAGCTTCCTAGCTACAGTCTGACTTTCTTAAAAAAAAAACCACCACCCCTGACTAAGTGCGGTGGCAGCTTCCTAGTTGCGGTCTGACTTTCAAAAAAAAACTATAATAGCCACCGCAGCTTTTTGAGCATCTGATTATTATTCAGCAGCTTCACAACTGCTTTTTAATAGGCTGCAGCTTCCCCAAACACCCTTAATCGCAAGCATGCGCACATTGCATATCTAAGGCGTTGAACCAAAGACCTCTTGGTTGAAGCCTAAGCTATCAACCAACAAGCTTAAGATAGCATGCATAGAAGATATTTTCTTAAATTCATTATAGCAATGTTAACTGCTGCCTATCATATGGACATTCTATGTTTTTTCATATCACAATTATTATATGTTTTCAAACAAATGAAGTCTACTTTTCACAACCTAATCTTCAATAGATGCAACTATCATCATGCATCCAACTTCATTCTCATTTATATCAGATTCACATAGGTTTAAAGGATTTTTTTTATTGAAGTTAGATCCAAGTAACATAGCTTAAATGTAATTTTATAAAATTTACGTTTAAGTTTCATGATATCCTTTCATTATGCAATGTAATTATGCCTGGCCATTTAGATGCCTTGATAAGCTAGATGTTACCCGTACGTCTAAAAGTTAACCCAATAACTTGTATGTCATTTAATTGGTCCACAGTCTGATTTGTAGCTTTTAGTGCCATCATGGCACTCAGCCTATCAATAATCATTGTTGAACAAGTTGGAATTAAAATAATTTTAATGTTAGAAGATAATTAAACCGATGACAAGCCACACACACAAGTATATAGTTAATGAGTAAATTAGCTCAATGAAATCATCATAAACTCAAATTCAATTCAAAAGGATTATCAAGCCTAGCCATTCGCATAAAAATTGAGTTAAACAAATTCAAAATGGTTTTGAATTTATCCAAAAATAAAGCATGCTTCTATATCTGTTGTTATGGGAGATATGCATTATAACTTGAAAATCCTAATTAAGCCTTAATGGGAATCTCACCAAAAAATAACATCAATACAGCTAACCCAAAGTCATCAGATTGTTTGCCCATTTGTCTATTCTGGCAATCTTAACTCAAGTTAAATCATTAATATTATCATCATTCTTTATACAATCCACAATACTGAGAGTAATTGTTAAAATTAACCCACTTGAAGAAAAAATCATATATTTAATCATTCTTTTAATAATCCTACCATTATATTGATAATTTTGTTCATTGCTCTAACTTTTCATTTCTTTTATTGTATGCCATAATAATGAAAACTATATTACATGTAAAATATATATTAAGATACATCGCTTTACAAGTCCTTAAAATTTATCTTCATAACCGATACAAAAAATATGAACCTAATGTTCATTATTGACGTACTTCAACTGAAATGAAAACCCCCGTGGTCTCCTGAACTACAACCAATACTTACATATTTCATAAATTATTGACGTACTTCAACTGAAATGAAAACCCCCGCGGTCTCTGAACTACAACCAATACTTACATATTTCATAACTTTTAACACACTTTCTTTCATAATGCTTCTCAAATAATTTTCTAGAGGTATTCAATCGTATTTCTTCTCAAGGCTAATAAATCTCATATGAATATCTTTTCCACAATCTCTATATTTAACATTTATTGTCTTTGTAACTAAAACGCTATTACAATTAATTTTCCTTGATATTAAGCCTAAACGGTTCTTAAAATACTCACTAATAAATGTAAAGTGAATATCTTTTCACAATCTTACTTAACACTTACTGTATTAGCACAGAAAATAATTTCATAGTGAATTTTTCTCATATAAAATCAAATTTATCCTTCAAATATTAATCTCCCTAAATATTTTCCATCACTTCCTCATATTGCTCCATCATATGATTCATAAACTAAATTCTTCTATAATTGCAACAAGCTTGAGCAATTCCTGTGTTCTTAAATGTTGGTACCAAAATACATCTTCAATTATTAGGCATGCTCATATTATTTCAATTTTCATTAAAAATATTTGTTAATCAAACCATAACATCACCCATAACTCTTTAAATATTAATTGGTATCTTATCTAGGACCTAAGCCTTTAAACATCTTTTGAGCAAACCATTTCCCTTTCAAAAATGAATCTATAATATATCACATTATGTTGTTCATTATGCTCTTTTAACACATTTTTTTGAAAATAAATATTCCATCATTTATTGATTGCTTAATCTTAGACTAAACCTTTATTACCATCATTTCAAAAGCATCTAATTGATTAAAGCTTTTAGATATTTTATCTCTTACCTTAACTATTTATATCTCATTTTTCCCTTCATCAGTACCAAGCCAATTATATAAATCATCAAAAAAAGTTACTTTAATTACTCACCCTCTTTTCAAGACTTATAAATTTCTTATAATTATTATAAGCTCAATAATATTTTTTTTAACCACCCTTCAAAAAAAATATTTCTTTTCCTTAATAACCTTTTGTAACTCTTAACTCCAATAACAAAGTTCACAATTTAGCATCTATAGAAATCTTCTTAATAGATCTAATCATATTATCACACATTAGACTTTACTCAGCCCAGGAATTCTAAGTTATGTCTTAACAGCATATCTTGCAAAATATAATTCACATTTTATTATCTTATCAAAAGAAAATTACTTATTTTGATCGTTCTCTTTACTCCAAATAAATACATTTATTACTTGACTATGTTACACCATCAAACATTCTTTTACAATCACTTATGCCTTCTTAAAAAAGCTTTTTGTTTAATTTTAAATAAAAAATATTTGGTAGCAACACCTTCAAAAATAGTAATCGTTTCATTTCTTAAATTCAGTAATTGTTATTGCAATATTATGCTTCTATAAGAAAAATATATAGGTTATCTCATTGCATTTCTACCATCTATTGCATACCCAATATGGAAAAGCGAACTAATAGAAAAAGGCAACTACTTATCATCTGATCCTTAGAGAATGAAATAACCTAGCCTGCATACTTCTACCACATATCCACTCTCCCCATTCTCATTCCACGCTTAACTTGGCTTTCACCATATTATTTGTTGCCAAACAATAAAATCAAAATAACTTATATTCCATAAAATTTACCTTTTAGCCTAACCACTAAAGCTCAAATACAAGTAATACCCTCATCTTTTGATAAAAAAAAGCCACTATTGTACTTGGTAAATATCATCTCATTTATAGTTGCATTATTAAACAGAACTTTTAATAAAGCTCTTACATCCTAGATCAAAATGAGATTACAAATGCAAGTGATTCATCAAGCTATTAGGCCATCAACATCTAGTGATAATGGAAGTTTAAAATTTCTTTAAAAAAAATAAAATGCAAAATTTGGTCAATGAGGCTTAACTCGTTTGTGAGATATGTTCACAAATATTCGAAAGTCTAGGGAGAGTTCTTTAAAGATTATAGCTTGGATGGATTTATTCAGAGCTTAAGCTATACTAAATTATGCTCTTAAAGAGGAACAAAAAAGTAAACAATGTTACTGCCTGTGGTGACATGAGTAGCGCCCTCCATACTACTGCCTCAGTTCCACAGACAAATCTCAAAAATAGAATGATAAGTTATAAATCATGTATATGTGATATATTTTTATTTTATATATAATTAGTTTTAAAAAAAAATTACAGAAGAAAATAATGGAAAGAAAACTCACAATAATAGAGCTACATGCCACAAATATTAAGAGGACTAGTGGTGGGTTGATAGTAGATCACAATAGGTTTATATGTTAATGTTAAAAAAATGCCATAAAGTTGTAAATTATTGAAAAATATATTATATTTAGTAACACTACACTTTTTTAGGATGAGTATATGCAAATTCTGGTAGTGGAGAAAATGCAATTGATGAGGTGATAAAAAAAAATGGCTGCACTGAGTCAAGATAAAAATACTTGCACAAGTACACCACAAGCTGAGATGGAGGCAATGCACCACAAACAATGGAGCAGCAAACATCAAGACAGAGAAGAAAAGATGGTAAAAGAAAAAAAAATTATTGAGAGTTTGGGGGGTTATTACTATTATATCAATCATTTATTTCAATATCTATGTTGTTGTTTGTTTTTAGTGTTATAGTGCTACAATATTTTATGCTGTAATGTTAAAAATTATGTTTTCAAAATGTATTAGTTCAAAATTGTTATTAACTTGATGTGTTATAATTATTTTGTGGAACTAAATACATAGAAAAGAGGACACCATTTTTTCAATCTCTTTTTTCCCTTTTATATGTAGCTCCCGCACAAAATATCATAAATAATATACTAAAAACACAGATCACAATAAAAAAGCGTAAATATTGATAGCATAAGAACAAAAAAGTGATCCTTGGTATTAACGGATCTAGCTTTATATCTCTACAGTCTAACGCATGGCAGCAAGCCTTAAGGTTTTACACATCTAACCATGAATAGTATGGAAATGAAAATAATTTAGCTACTACAAAAATATAAGAATAGTCATAAAAAGCAGCATAATCAGCAAATACCTTCAGCTGTCCTGAATCACTGACCAAAAAGTTGAGCGGCAATGTTACATCTAAAACTTGCGAAGCCACTTCATCATTCTGCTCTTCTCTGAGCTCACCCCTTCCATCCATTTCTTGGAGATTTCCATATAAAGCTTTAGAAATTACTAATCCTCCTTTCTCCACTTGTTTATTCTTCTTTCTATTAGAAACAATTTCTAGTAATTTTTGTGCTTTCTCGGCCACCTTCCTTGCTTCTTGCAACTTGAAATGTACAGATAAGAAAAAAAAAACCAGGAAATAAGCATTAGAGATAATCTGACTCGGCTGGCATTAAACTTTAACAAGTAAACAGAAGAATGAAATAGTAAAAATGTTCGGATTCATCTCCTAATAATGGGATAAGTGTGAGGAACCATACAATTAATTCAATAACCAACATAAATCACAGCTCTGAAAAGTTAAGACAATCAAAAGATTTAATCTAACAAAAAAAATTCAATCTGTATCAATTTATAAATCAAGTTTCTAACTTAACTATGTATCTCACAGCCTCCAGAAACAATTCAATAAGGCTCCTTTTGCAAATAGAATTCTTCATTGGGTAGGTCCATTTTCATAGTTCTTTTTTTTTTGTACGACTTCTCTAGACATTAACTAAGTGATGCCTTGTTGGCATGATTAAAGTTTCCTTAACATGACCTACCCTGCAATCCTTTGTTAATCTGCATACTCAAAATGCAAAGCATAACTAACCTAAAGAGTATTATGTTGTAGAGATTCTAACAAAAACCTAATGAAAATGCATGATGAAGAAATTAATGCATCAAAAACAAAAATTTCACATGATATAAACTATTAACTCCAAAAAAATGCCCTGCTAAGGAAACAAAGAATTCCCAGAAGAGGTTAAACAGATTGCAAGATAACTCCCAGCTGAAATTCCAACAACCCAAAAAAACAGAAAAAGTGGCACCTGCTAAAATGCAACAAAACCACAAGAGAACATGGCAACAAACAACTGCAAAAGAAACCACTGACAACAAAATATAGGAACTATTAATTACAAAGATCCCAGCAGCAAGAAATTGACTAATATAAACGCTACAGTGATCCAACCAATATATATTAAAAAGTGAATTTGAATTTGGAGGATTTCAAACCTCAATGTTACATGTGATTATTCATCCCAATTTATCATATAACTTTATTTGATCCGATTTCTCAATGGTTCTCAAAGAAAATTTTTTTGGATTTAGATGAATCGTAACATTATCAACTTATTTGAATTCCACATATCTATAGTTAAAATTTTCAGTAGAGTTACAATAATAAGGGTTAGCAATTTTCTGAGAACTATTTTCATGCAAATCAGACATATCAAAGACTAGTAATGCAATAGAATATAAGACCTGTAGAGGTAAGAAGAAATAATACATGTAGAGGTAAGAAGAAATAATAAATGTTAGTTGATGAGGGATTATAACTAACTGCACTGAGTACTACATGTTTATCATATCGATGGATAAACATTTTAAAAGATTAATAATAATGGTTGTAAAAAAAAAAATACAATGAATCACATGTCTTTGGATTCAATCAAGCAAATGAAGTTTAAATTTTCAAGCTTTCTTGTTAGCATAAATAAATCAAGGACAACATTGACACAATTTGAATTAGTAAATTTTTTTATTAGTTTATAAATATATAAATCAAGGGCCAAAAGATCAAGGTCAATTTGACATGCAACGGAGGGAAAATGTCAATAGAGAATTTCCCAAGGGATATTAATATATTGTTCGAATGATTTAATAAATTCAGCATGCATAACTTATTAAAATTCAGTCATCAATAAACTAAGATTCTAATTGAGGGTTGGGTTAAAAAATGATCCTATATTCATTCTTTTCATATTCAAATCAACTTTTGGTCAATTTCATATTCCAGCGTTTGACTAGATTAGAATAAGATCAGGCGCATATTCTAATGTAGTATTTTTATGTAAATTTAGCTTTAGTGAAATTATATGTACAACTATTTTGTAAAAGTAAATCTTTTTCTAAATCTAATTCTAGAAAGCAAAATTTGGGAGGAAAAATCCTTAATAGATTATTCACATGTAGGGTAAATATTAAGATAGAGAAACTAATCTCCCCTATTTAAAAAACTTACCAAATATATCAAGTCTAAATTAAGAAAGCAAATAATTCTGAAATAAAAAATAAAGAAACGTAAAGTAGGAAGAGAATAAAACTAAGAAAGGTGTTTCCAAATATATGTTGAATCAAATCTTTTCATGATTTTTTGAAGCAGTTGGCTGACCCATCTTGAAGCCGAACTTTTCAGCTTTCCACACCCCCCCTCAAGCTGGGTCGTAAATGTTGTAGAAACCAATATTGGTATTGTGAAGTAGTTTAATTGTATAATTCCACCATTAACCTTTTCAGATATAAAGTGCCTATCAATTTCAATATGATTGGTTATGTCATGATGCACTGGATTATTGGCAATACTAATAGTTTCTTAGCTATCACAAAACATCTTTATAGGCCTATTGAAGGTACACCCCAATCACAAATTCCTAAGGTGAATACCCTATACTCAAATTTAGCACTACTTCCAAAAAAAATAGCTTGCTTCTTACTTCTCCATGTAACCAAATTTCCACATACGTAGAAGCAATAAAATGTGGTTGACCTTCTATCAGTGAGTTCCCCAACCCAAATTACATCAATGTAGATTTTTACCTCTCGGCTTCTAGTTTTTCAAAAATTAATCCAAAACCAGGAGTCTTCTTGAGAACCTAAGAATCATGTATATCATCTCCAAATGCTCTTCATTTGGGTTATTCATATGTTGGCTCAAGATACGGCAGAGTATGCAGTATCTGGCCTCATATGTGATAGATGAGTTTTTCTACCAATCTTTGACATCTTCACTTATCAACATATATACTCTCTCCCCTATTAGACTTCTTGTCGGAATCCATTCAAGTATTAGCAGGTTTGCATCCAATCATCCCTGTCTCCTTTAGTATATCTAAAATGTATTTACTTTGTGATATAATGATGACTTCCTTAGACCTTTGTTACCTTCATACCAAGAAAATATCTCATGACTCATAGGTCCTTAATTTCAAACTGAGTGGGAAGCACATCTTTGATTTTGAGAATCTTTAAGAATTATATCATCCATATATACTATCAGTGCTACAATCTTACACCCCTGTGTGTGATTTGTGAACAAAGTATGATTAGCTTGACCTTGAGAATATCCATTAAATCTTATATTTTTAGCAGACCTTTCAAATATGCTCTTGGTGAATGTTTAAGCCCATAACAAGACTTTCTGGGTTTGCATATTAAGTATTTATTGGAATCAATCTCAAGTCCTGATAATATCTCCATATAAACTTCTTCTAAATCCACGTTCATGAAGGCATTTTTAGTGTTGATTTGATGCAATCCTCATTTCATGTTAACTGTTTCGGAAATGAAACTTTGATTGTGTTTAGTTTAGCAATTGATGCAAAGGTCTTCTGAGAGTCAATCCCATAAGCTTAAGTAAAACCTTTTACAACAAAATCTGGCTTTGAACCTCTCAAAATACCCCCATCAACATTCTATTTGATGTTAAACACCCATTTGCATTAGATTGGCTTCTTATTTTGAGGGAGTTTAGTAAGAATTTATGAGTTATTGTGCTTCAATGCTTGAATCTCTTCTTCAAATACTACCCTCTATTTTGGATTTTCAAAAGCTTCATGAATAGATTTGGAAATCTACACACTATCAAAATTAGAAACAAAAGATTAGTAGTATGAAGATAACTTCTCATAAGCTACATGCACCTAAATTATATATTTAATACACTTTTCTTGTCACCAACATTAGAAGGGGAAGGTTATAACTCATGAGTACTACACTCCTGCCCCGAAATTTCAGGTGAATGCTAACTTGAATTTTGATTTGATCAGTTCTGTCCTTGTAATTTGTTTTCTACCTGCTCAGAGTTTTTCATCCTCCTTTTGTACACATGAAGTTTTTGTTATAAGCTTCAGGTTAGATTAGTTTGATTGATTGGACATCCTGAACCAAGATATGAGGGCTTGGTAGAATAGGTGGTGAGGTCGTGTAG